CCCTTGATTGTAAAATGAAGATGACACTACAGATGGCTCCTACTCTGCGGGGTCATTGTGCGGGTCACATAAGCTGATGCACAGAGGAACTCGGCCCAGGGCCTGGGACCAAGGAAGTACGTGCTCCATCAACACTGGCCATTAGAATTCCTCTCGTTGAGTCACTACCTTGCCACTGGAAACTTTGGAGACTTCCTCGGGTCCTGCAGAATTCAGTGCCGGGAAAAGCAACAGCACTTCACATAGGTACCCTGGCCCAGAGTTTGGCTTGTCTGAGACCCAGGGTTAGATTCCCACAGGTAACCTGGGAGGGACTGTGAAGGGGGATGAGGGAGGGGCAGGAGGCAGGATTCTCTGTTTTTCAAGCTCTAAGCCACATCAGGGAAGTCAAGTCCACTGGGTTTGGAGAGGGAGGAATAGAGTTCAGCGAGAGGAGGAGCAGCAGCCACAGAAATAAATGTCTCCTCTTTGGTAAAGGGGCTACGGTTCGGGACCCATGAAAGTCCTCCTGGAGGGGCCTCTTCTCTTCTTTGTGCCTCACTTTCTTTCCAGGAGAGTAAGTCCCCACTTCCCTCTCAAAAGGTGACACAAGAGTGAGCACATCACGCATGGGAGAGCGGACGCTGAGGAAGACCTTTTACCCCTCCTCGCCTCCTCAAGGTGGTGGCCAAGTGAGCTTGCTGCTGACTAGAGCAAAAGGTACGGGGAGCAAGGTCGCCACAGATCACACAGCAGATACCACAGCTTGGGCCAAGGCTAGCAGAGTTTCCATCCCGCGCCAACTTCCTCCTCCTCCTCTTCGAGCCAATCAATACGAGCACCAGGCTCCAACCAGTCCCTCTCCTTGCTGCCGCCCTGCCCTCTGACCTTTTGGGGGCCTTTCTCTTGATTCATCTCCAGAAGGGAGGTAGAGGCCATCACTCCGGACCTGCTCAATGGCCTCAGAATGGGCTGTCATGGGGCCTATAACCAGGGACAGCTCCTGCTGGCCGAGAGCTGGAATAGGGGGGGGAGGCAGATAAAGGCCTTCCAGGCTGAAGATAAATGGCTGCCTGCAGCCTGCTACAGTAACTTCAGGCCCCCAAGAAGAGCAAACAAAGGGTGCCCCTGTGACACTCCCTGGAAAGATGAAGGCCCAGCAGCGGCAGCCAGGCTGGTTCAAAGCCCCAGCTTAATTGTCAATTAAGCATGCATAAGGGAGACAAAGCCATGACAACCCTTGGCTGCATGCTGGTGTGTGATTGTAAAGCCGAGGAGGGGCAACGCTGGAAACAGCTGATTCTGCTGACAATGTGTTTGTAGGGCATCTTGTAACCAATCAGCCGCTGACAGAGGCAGAGTGCTCCTCCTGCCACCCCTATTGTGCCGGACATTCCAGGACTAGGGTCACACCATGGTCATCGTGGGCAAGTGGGCCACAGCATGGTAAGCAGGGCTGGGAGGGAAGGTGCTGTTAGAGAAAGGGCGCTCTTCCTCTCTAGGACGAGGGTTCTGGGGAAGCCTCGTCTCCAAGGTGCTGCCAGCCCTCCTGGCTCAGGTGCGGTGTTTGGAGAGGGAAGAGTGTGGAGAGTGGGTGTGGGGGAACTGGGGCCTTGTTTCCCCCAGCTCAGTCTTTGGGGTTGCTAGTGCTGACCATGGATGTTGAGCTCTGCTCAGCAACATGGAGATCTCTTTTTTTTTTTTTCCAGACAGAGTCTTGCTCTGTCACCCAGGTTGGAGTGGAGTGGAGTGGAGTGGCCCATCTCGGCTCACTGCAACCTCCGCCTCCCGCCTCCCGGGTTCAAGCGATTCTCCTGCCTCAGCCTCCGGAGTCACTGGTGCCTGCCACCACACCCGACTGATTTTTGTGTTTTTAATAGAGATGGGTTTCACCATGTTGGTCAGACTGGTTTCAAACTGCTGACCTCAAGTGATCTGCCCGCCTTGGCCTCCCAAAGTTCTGGGATTTCAGGTGTGAGCCACCACACCCAGCCCACAGAGTGTTTTTTTTGTTTGTTTGGTTGGTTTTTTTTTTTTTTTTTTGTATTCTGCATGCAGTTATATTTCTGACTTGGTTAGTGACCACACCTTGGCTGTGGGCACTGAGGTGGGAAGAGTGCCATGTGGCTCTACAGACAGAAGCCACCCCTGAGTGCTGGGCTGCAGCCTGCTGTCTGCCTGCTTGCATTACTCAGGAGCCCTGTCATGGCACACATGCCATCCTGGCAGCCTGAGATGGGGACACTAGTCTTTGACCCCAGCATCCTGCATCCCAGGCACCAGCACAGCAGCCACCTCTGTTTCTAGTCCCAGGGCCAGGACACATCTCACTGCCTCTCAGGGGGAATGCCCTGGTGTGTGAGATCAAAAAGAAAATGATTTCTGCTGCCTGCCAGTCTTCCCACTGCCCTTGTTTAGCCCTCTCTAATGTTAAGAGTCATAATGAGGGTAGTATGGGTTACTGAGAAAGGTGTCTTTTTACATTCACTCCCTTCATCCTCACACGCACCCTGTCTGGAAGGTCCTATTTCTCCATTTTGTAGGCAGGAAACTCAGGCTCAGAGAAGTTATGTGAATCAGCCACAGTTATAACCTCACTGGTTAGAACCCAGATACATAACTGCACTCAGAGAAAGAGAAGCCAGTCCCTGGGCTTGGGCCAAGGACCATGTTGAGGAGCCCAGAGTGAAAATTAAGGCAGAAGGGCTGGGTACAATCTCACAACTGTAATCCCAGCACTTTGGGAGGCTAAGGCAGGAGGACTGCTTGAGACCAGGAGTTTGAGGCTGTAGTGAGGCAAGACTGCACCACTGCACTCTAGTTTGGGTGACAGAGGGAGACCCCGTCTCTCAAAAAAAAAAATACAGAAGAAAAGCAGTCACCGAGAATATTCAGTGTCCCATAACTGTTGCTCCAGAAACAGCAATAGGATCTATCACACCGCAGAAAGATCCACAAAGCCCCCAAATGAAACCTCGATCCGCAGCTGGTTCTGGGGACTTGACACTGACCTGATGACCCGATATCTTTCCTACCAGACAGTAAGCTCCCAGAGGGCAGGACGCGCAGCTCGTACATCACTAGCGTATTCCCAGGACGTGGTAAGCACTCAACACGTCGTTGTGCTGTGGGAAAGCACGGAGTGGGAACCAGCAGGCCTGAGCCCTAGTCCTTGTTTTGCTACCATTGCTCTGTGTCACTTTGGCAAATCACTGCCTCTTTCTGGGCCTCAGTTCCTTTCTTCCAATTCCCTCCAAATTCTAATATTACATGATTTTTAGAAAGATCCAGACTTCTGGGCTACCCCAGAGAATCCACTTCCCGTGGGACGTGCCCTTCTTAGACTCCAGTCAGAGGAGTACGCAGGCGGTGTTTTCTGCCCACCCTGCTGGGTTTCCAGCACCTGCTCCCCGTCCATCCAGCCCCAGCTCTCTGGGTCTCCTGTCAGCACACAGGATGCCTAAACCAACGACCCCGTGGTGACCTCAGCACAGCCCCAGCTTGTCAGAAGGCTGCTGGGCCTTTGTTTGGCTTCCAGGCTCCCTGACTTTGGTGTGGAGATCACAGGTCCCAGCACAATGGCCATTGTCTTCTCAATAATGCCCCTTGCCCCAACCACGCCCCCCGCAGCTCCCAGCTTCAACTCCGTGGATCGCTGTGGCGGCCAAGCGCTCTGGTCCTGCTCAGTAACAGCCACGTGCCATTTGCCACAACCCTCAGAACCCTGCTTTGAATTTCCCTAAAGGGGTGAAGTTACTCTGCAATCAGGCCAGTCTTTGCCTGGGGGCTTCTCTGCCTCTTAAGTAACTAAGACTATCTTCCTGTGTGGCTGAGCCTCTCTCCTCTATGGGAGAGGGACCTAGAGAAACCCCCGGCACTGGCCCCAGCTTCATGCTGGACACTGTCAGGCTCCCAGAGGCCCTGGAAGAGGCTGTGCTATGGGAGGGCACAGCAGGCATGGAACAAATGCTTGTATACCACCCAGCTGATGGCTCTGAGCCTGTCTTGGTGGCTTTGGTCCCCTGAACACTTGGGTTAGCTCCCAGCCCTCAGGCCTTTCTCATCAGAAGGGCAACCAACAGGTGAGGGGAGCAACAGGTTTCAGAATCACCCCCGAGTTAGAAACAGTGTTTGGCTTTCCTTTCGCAAGCCCTTTTCTTGGAGCAGGCAGGAGGCTGCTACACTTTGTCCTCATGGGCACCGCACAGACCCCGGTGAACACGTCAATTCTAGGAAGCCAGCTTTGCCGGAAGAATGAAGGGCCAGAAGAAGTGCTCCATCCCAGCCTGTGCCTAACACAGAGCTCAGCATATAGGTGTGCTTTTTCCCAAGGAGGCTGTAGGATTCCATCCTGACAAACCGAAAGCCCACAGCAGAGGCATTCTAATCCAGGCCAGGGCCCACACAAAGGAGCACTCAATCAAGCACGATGGAGCAGGTACTCAGTCAGTTTGGCCCAACTCATCACTGCAAAGATTTCAAGTGACTGACCCCCACCAACCCTGATGAAACACGGAAGCCAACAAGCAGAGGCCACCAACAGAGTGGCCGTCCCCAAAGGCCACTGGGCTTCTCCTGAGGCAGCCGGACCGAGCGAGGGGCAGGATATGGCCAGGGATGGAGGAGGTGGCCGGAGTGCCATCCTCCAACACTGCGAGGGATGCCACGCCATCACGACCCCTCTGCCTGAGATTTGGACCTGGTCCACCCATAAGGCAGCCTCCTCAGTGTAGAATGACCGCTGAGTCAGCAGCCACACAGGGAGAAGAAGAGGGAAGGAGACAAATAGGGTAAAGGGTTCCCTGGAGGCTAAGTGAGCCTCACAGGGCAGTGGCTGAGCCAGAAGTTGGAGGAAACTGATCAGAGCCACACATGATTTCCAGGGGAATATTCTGGCAATGAGAGAGCAGCCCTAGGATCACCTCAAAGGATTTGCTCCTCTGAAAACCCTTAAACCAGGTAAGATCCGTGGCGAGAACCAGGATGGGTTGCTGAGGCAGTGAGGCCCAACCTCTGTTTACCTGACAGCTTGTTCGGAGGAGAGGAGCTGGGCTGGTGGTGGGGGGAGCCGTGGGAGAGCAGAGGGTTCAGGCTGTGAGTCTGGTTGGAGCTATAGGCGTCCATGGCCAGCTTCTGCCGGAATGCCTCCTCCTTCCTGCGGTTTGCAAACCAGTTGTAGACACGGACCTCAGTGACCAAGTTGGAGCCCAGGCCGTGGGCTTTGGAGGGGGACACCCCTCGCTGCAAACATTCTGCCCTGGGGATGGATGGAGGGGAGATGGTGAGTGAGGGTGGCGGGGGGACTTGTTGGTGTTTGGCCAAAAGCACACAATCACAGCAGTCTTGGTTGGGAGTGTGAATGGGCCGTGGGCAGAATGGAAGGCTGAGGAGGAGAGGCCTATGCAGAGAAAAGGCCAGCCCATGGAGTGATATGATGAAGATGGCTGAAGTGGGTCTGAATGCAGGGACAGAGCAGGCTATGCCACCCTGGGAGTCAGGGACTTAGGCTCTGGTGTGGCTCCCGAGGAGAAGAGAGCAAGCTGGGGACAGGCAGTCCAGGGGAAGGTCCAGATGGGGCTTCCTGACACCTCCTTATTTAGCCATTCTTCCCACCACACAAAAGGCAAAGCCCTTCGCTGACTCTGTCTTGAATGCCTTCAAAGCACTTCAAGAGGATTTCTGGTCTTTTGGGGTTTGAACTCCCTGAAAGAGTGCCAGGAAGCAAAATGCCTTATACCCTCCAAAAGGCAGGCAGGGTGCGGTCCAAAGCAGGGTGCATTGAGATGGCCGGTCTCTAGCTTTATCAGGGCTGGTGAAACCTCAAACCCAGGTGTGAGAGATTCTTAGACACTACTGGTGCTGCAAGGCATCTCATTAGTCGGGGTACGGAGCACAGCCTGAGGACTCAGTGGGAGTACAGGCCTCTCTGCTTCCCAGCCTGACTTCCCTGGCTGCATTCTTTCCACTGCCAAGGCCAGCCCAGCCCAGAGACAGAGAAAGCGCACACAGGCCTTGGCCAGACCAAAGAGCTGAATTTTTAAAAAGTCAATACTGGAGTCAGGGAGAATAGGGCAGGAATGAAGTAAAAAGATTTCCCAAGGTTTTCCAATAGTTTAAAAAAAAAAAATAGCTGGGCCCGGTGGCTACAGCCTATAATTCCAGCTATTTGGGAGGCCAAGGCAGGAGGATTGCTTAAGCCCAGTTCAAGATCTGCTGGGCAACATAGCAGACCACATAGGAAAAATAAATAAATAAAATAACACATAGTTTTTGTTTGTTTGTTTGTTTGTTTGTTTTAAAATAGAGATAAGGTCTCGCCATGTTGCCCAGGCTGGTCTCAAACTCCTGGGCTCGAGCAATCCTCTGCCTTGGCCACCCAAAGTGCTGGGATTATAAGTGTGAGCCACCGTGCCTGGTTGGTAGTTAACATGTAAACAGAACTCTGTTGAGTCAGTGGGGGCAGAGTAGACTGAACAGATCTGACCAATTCTTACTCTCCTGCCAAGCTTCCTTTTGGACCACTGCATGTCTGACAATTGGTAGAGGCCAGATCTAGGGTCTGTGGCTAAGGGAGAGTTTTATCCTGGCCTGTATGGAGGTCGAACACAAAATTTTCATTTCACAGGTATCATATTTTACACCAGCATTCTCCAGAGTATCTTCCCTAGAATAATAATTCATGGGATTGTTTGTACTCTACCAAAGATTCCAGAGTTAACAACACATTCAACAAAGCTAAGTGGTTTTCTTGACTGCAGGGCTTCTCAGAGCCTTTAATATATGTTGTGACTCTCTAAGGGGAAGTATCCATATGCTGGTTCTCAGACTTACTGACTAATGAATTGATATTGGGGTTCTGTGGAACATACTTTGGGAAGCCCTGATTTAGCCACACTTATCTGTATAACTAGTGTCTCAATATCCCAGGACCGAGGGGAGGGATCCTGGGTCCCTGTGCTTGCCCACCTGCCCAGGTGAGCTTCTGGTAGTGTTACCTGTTGCATTCCTCCACTAAGGCCTCTCTCTCTTCCTTGCTGGGGTTCTTTTGCCGGTCGTAGGCCTGGTACAAGATTTGCTGGGATGCGGGCCCCCATTTGAACCGGTTGCGGCGCATCTTCTTGTTGGTGGGCTCAGAGCAGGCATCATCGGACTGCCCAGGCCCCTGGCTCTGTTGACTGAACTCTGGAAAGAGAAACAGCAGCTGATCCTGACTGCTTTTGTCTGTCATATTTCCAGAACTCTGGACTGTCTGGTTGAATTCTGAAAAGAGAAAGGAGTAGATTTGATAGGGTCTGTAGCCTTCACTCAGCAGACAGACAGACAGACAGACAGACAACGGACGAAGACACATTTATTCCCCTCTTCTAACTAAGCTTTGCAACCTGCTCTCGCTGCATGTGGAGCTGGAGACGGGGAGGCCTCAGCACAGGCCTTTACTGCCCACCTCAGTTGCTCCAGCAAAGCCACCCTTTTCCTTTCTTTGAAGGAGCTCAAACATAGCCAGCCATTGTTTTAAGAAAATTATTTTTTTTCCCCTTTGGCTCACTGGCCCTCAGACATGAAGCAACACTCTGCATCCTGAACTCTTGTATTTGATGTCAAGTGGGTGAGCTCAATCGAGTCTCAGATCCAGGGGAGAACTGCTCAAAGGTACAATTTATACTTGCACAAATATTCAGAGGCTGTAGATAGCACTCCCCACCTCTCCTCCCTCTTCCTATATCCGAGGTATCTACATTATAAAGTCAGGTTTTTAGAAAAACCCCAAACCTTTTGAAACATGCTTTGAAATAAATATAACTGGAGCTCTGTATTGGAAAGAGAAGATGTGCTTTAGATCTCAAATAATTTCAAAGACTACAAACATAGGACCCGTCTGGGAGTGGTGTTTAATTAGCTGGAAATGATGCTCCCTGTCTGTCCAATTCCTTGGGTCCAGGAATACTGTGACCCTCAGGAGATTTTTCTAGAATGAATGAGAGCCAGCAGCTCAGCCCAGTGGTGATGCCTTAGCCTACATGGTTTAATGAGATTTGATATTTACATGACTGAAGAAGAAAGCTTTGCTGTCCTCGTCTTCACATCTGCATGCAGCAGGGCTCATTGGGGTGATTAATTCCATTTTACAGATGAATAAACAAAGAGGCTAAGCACTCTGCTGAGCAAAGACGCATAACACATTCATTTCCTAGCTCTGGGTCCCTATGTTCTGGATCTTAATGTCTTTTTTTTTTTTTTTTTTTTTTTGAGACAGAGTTTTGCTCTTGTTGCCCAGGCTGGAGTGCAGTGGTGTGATCTCAGCTCACTGCAATCTCCGCCTCCCAGGTTCAAACGATTCTCCTGCCTCAGCCTCCTGAGTAGCTAGGATTATAGGTATGCGGCACCATGCCCAGCTAATTTTTTGTATTTTTCATAGAGATGGGGTTTCATCGTGTTGGGCAGGCTGGTCTCGAACTCCTGACCTCAGGTGATCCACCCGCCTCAGCCTCCCAAAGTGCAGGGATTACAGGCGTGAGCCACTGCACCCAGCCTTAATGTCTTTCTTTCACAGTTCCTGTAATTACTCTCACAGGTCACAGAGAGTGGAAGGCTACCACCTCCCTTTGTGATAAGCTCTGAATGTGCCATCATTTACATGCTATCCTTCTCGTTCTTTTGGACAACTGGATCAAAAATCCTCAAGGTTCAAGTCAGGCTACTACTTAATGTTTGAATCCCCTCTACAACCCCCCACCGAGTGGCCCTCCAGTCTATATGCCTCCAGCAGCAGGGAACTTGCCACCTATCTAAGGCTCATGTCCATTTTGGTCCATCAGGAGGAACGGTTAGGGTCCCTAGCCAGCCAGGACTTGGGATCCCAACTGCAGGTGGTGTTGGGCTTTGTTTAACTATGGACGGATCGTGACACTGTGGCCTTTGATGTGGCCCATTTAGAACCCTGGAGGATTCTTAGGCCACCTTAGGGCTCTGTTTTCAGTGGTGCCCAACAATGCTACTATAGACCTGAGAGAGTCCCTGCCAAATGGCTAGTGGGAAGTCACTGCTAGTGGGATCATGTGGGACCCTAGCTTAATTCCCTCATCACTTAGTCCCCCCAGCTGTGGGATGAGACTGACTGAAAGCTTAGGGATACTAACTAGCCTTTCAGAATATCTACCCCCTAGTCAGGATGATGGTGATGTTGGCCCAAATTCCTTTGGGGGTTAGACTTTTTCTTTTTTACAGACAAGGTCTTGCTCTGTCACCCAGGCTGGAATGCAGTAGTACGATCATAGCTCACTGCAGCCTTGACCTCCTGGGCTCAAGCCATCATCTCGCCTTAGCCGACCAAGTAGCTGGGACTACAGGTGTGCAAGCCACCACACCGGACTAATTAAAAAAATTATGTTTGTAGAGATGGAGTCTCACTATGTTGCCCAGGCTGGTCTCAGACTCCTGGCCTCAAGCAGACTTCCCACCACCTCAGCCTCCTAAAGCATTGGGGTTACAGGCGTGAGCCACAGTGCCCCACCTGATTATACTTTTCAAAGTGCTTTCGCCCCTGTACAGTATTTGGCTTCACAGCAGCTCCTCTAAATGCAGTTACTTGAGGAGAAATCAAAGGGAGAGAAGGAGACGTCCCCTGCTCAGTGAGCTCTGTCACAGTGTCTTCCCTCCTCCCTGTAGGCCCTGAGTGGCACCGGTGGAGTCACCGATGGCCAAAGCCAGTGTAGATCATCCCAAGGGCCTGGGAGCAATGGGAGATTTTTTCATTTAATGTAAACAGACACAATAACGGTTAACATTTATTGAACCATTTCTATGGTGAGGTATTGTGCCAAATCCTCTGAATATATTCCTTCATCTAATTCTTACAACCTCTCCATGTGAGAAGTACGGCCATCTCTATTTTACAGATTAAGAAACTGAGGTTCAGACTGGTTAAGTGACTTGCCCAAAGTCATGAGGACTTGGGGCAGGAGCCCAGACATGAGCCCAGCCTGCAGGCTTGCAGACTCCTAACTACCACCCTGTGCATCGCCTCTCACTAAAAACAAAACCCAAGCAATGTACCCGCAAACCCTTCAGATCTGACTTGTGTGGAGGTGACAAAACCGACTCCTGAAGCTTTGTGTCTGGTGGGTGTGACACTCTCGCAGCTGCTCCCTATTGTGGGGGCTGCCTCAGTCTCTCACCTGCCCTTTGAGGAGGTAGCAGCCTGAACAGTGTTCAGAACTCAGTGTGTCCTCAAATCAGCCAGGTGGCTTTGCCTGTAGGTGCTCAGAACCATTCAGGTTCCACTGACCTCAGGGGCTTGGCTCTAGCCTCTCCCAATTTTTGAAGAACTAGACTCCCACATTTGCTCCCTCTAACCACCACAAACTCTTCTCTACTTCCCTTCAGATTAATTGTGTTTGGGGAACAAAATGTCCATTGCCTATGAAAATTATCTTGGAGAAGTTGGCTTCAGTAGTCTCTTTATAGGCTTGGGGGCCAGCTTGGACAAGGAGATTCTATGTGTGTAGAGAGGCCCATGAATATTACCATTTGTTATTTTTAGTTTTTCAAGGAAATTTGTATTCATGTATCATTTTGTATTCTCTCCCCTCTCTTCCTCCTTCTCCTCACCCCATTCACTTGTGTCCCTCTTTTATTTCTCTTACTTCCTGATTCTTATATTATACTTGCATGTCTTGTATTCATCCTTCAAGACATGATTTGAATGTCACCTATTCTAGGAAGCCTTCCATGCTATCTCCAGGCAATTTAGCAGTTCCTCTGCTGCCCCTTGTGTATATCTTTATAACAGCTCTTAAAAAGTGAATGTCATTATTTACTCAAACGTCTCCACTTCTTCACTGGATGGCAGGTAAGTCCCTGGAGAAAAGAACCTATGTATTCCACAGCTTAGCATAGTGTTTGGCACATAGTAGGTGCCTGTATAATAGTTACAGAATGAAGGACTGTTTCTTAAGCTTTTATATCTCATGTGACTTTAAAACAAAAATAACGGCCAGGCGTGGTGGCTCACGCCTGTAATCCCAGCACTTTGGGAGGCCAAGGCGGGCGTATCACGAGGTCAGGAGATCAAGACCATCCTGGCTAACATGGTGAAACCCCGTCTCTACTAAAAATACAAAAAAAAAAAAAAAATCGCCCAGCATGGTGGCGGGCGCCTGTAGTCCCAGCTACTTGGGAGGCTGAGGCAGGAGAATGGCGTGAACCGGGGAAGCGGAGCTTCCAGTGAGCTGAGATCACGCCACTGCACTCCAGCCTGGGCGACAGAACGATACTCCATCTCAATAAATAAATAAATAAATAAATAAATAAATAAATAAAACAAAAATAACAATAACAACAATTCTCTTGACGAGACTGTTGTATTTGTAAAATGTCCCTTCCTCAACTTCTTGAGAAACTTTCTGGACCGCTGTCTTTTGAGAAGTTTCCAGTCTGCCTTTCCTGCCTCCTTCTCCTTTCTGAAGAAATTCTCATTGAACACAGAGAGGCAGCACAGACTGGAGATGCTACATAAAACTTAAATAATTGGGCAGGGCTCAAGGGTTGTTGGGTCTTCGGAGACAATGGCTCCTGAGAATTTTTTTAGGCTTTCCAGGAACTGTACAGAGAGTTGCTTCACGTCAGGAACACAAATTCTTAAAGAGCTAGTCACCAAGTATGGGGGGCCAACCCATTCTTGGAAAGGTCTCCCGCTCTAAGCAGCAAATAGCTCTCACGTTACTTCTTCCAATGTATTCATGTAATGCTCCCAACAAAAGCACAAACACAATATGAAATGAACACCTAAAACCCTTCCTTTCACCAGCCCAGGGACATTGAGACAATAAATACTGAAACAATCACTTCAGAGCACTGTGTAACAGAAAACAAGAGTCATTTTAAAAAGCAAGAGGGAAAAAGCCCAAACCAGAAAGTGGTGGAAACTAACATCTTGATAAAGACAGAGAAGCTCAGATAAAGCCAGAGGATAATGTGTGGGGAGAGTGAAAACCAATACAAAATTTTCTGGGGAAAGGATGGGATCAAAGTAATGAAAGTCTAATGTCAAAGAATACTTTCCTAAAATACAGGCAGTATGTCATTCTACTCTTGTTATTCATATGCAGTTCAAACTTCCCTAGACTTACTTCAAAACAAAAACTTTTCAGAATAATTGGGTGGTAGAAATCTTGGGACAGAAAAAAACTTTGGGATGGGAATAGGAATGATAAGAATTGAGGAGTCAGAGTTCCAAATGCAGACACTTTTCCTGTGCCCTGCCTTAGCCAGAAGTAGCTTCTTCAGGAGCAGGGCCACCAGCTGAGGTCCCCACACTCGACCAATTTTGGTAAATGTGAGCAAACACCTTAAATTGCCTCAGGATTCAAACCCCTCCTCCAAGAACAGGGTGAAGTTCTGAATATATCTCTCTATACAAATGCCTTCTATTGTTGATACTTTTTCCAGAGAGGAGGAAATTGTAATAGTAATTAATATTATTGACTGCAATGAAATGTCTTCTTTGGAAATTGACTGTTGGTCATGTATCAAGGGGAGATACTTGGCTTTCTCTGGGGGAAGATATTTCACTCTGCCACCTACTTGGTTTCAAAGAGGAGGACGTTGGAAGGAGGGGCCAAAAAGTTTAAGCTAGGCTGCTTACACTGACAGGCTCCTCAGAGCAACTGGCTGGGTAGCAAGGGGCTGTGACCGAAGAACATGATAGAAGCCAATCCATTGTACAGCAACCACCAAGGCTAAATCTACTTGCCAGTTTCCTTATATCTGCTAAATGCTCACAGGGCCTTGTTGATGAAAGGGAAACTGAGGCAGCCCATGGGGTGAGAGGGCAAAGGTCACTTCAGGCTGAGGCAGAGGCAGGATGAAAACACTTACGTCGGAGGATCTCTCGTTGCTTTCTGACGTACCAAGTGTACAGGGCAGCACGCTTCTGGGTCTTCATAGGGGTGCCCTTGTTGAGATGCTGGGAGAGGTGTGATTGGTTCAGGCCGGTGACATCGACCACCTCCCTCTGGGGGATGTTGTGTTGCTGCATGTAGCCCTTGATCATTTTAGCAGCCCTCCAAGGGTCCTCACTAGACAGACAAGCAGATGGTTAGGGTACTAGCGGGAGACATCTGGGGAGAAATATTCTCTTTCTAGGGGGTGCTACCTATACTCTATGCAAAATTCTGAATTTTCCACCCATCTAAGCTACAACTTTGGGATAGACATGAGGCCAAAATGGAAGCTAAACAGAAGAGAAGGTGGCGGTCGGCCCCTGTATGGTACACCTCACCCCTTTCTTCCGAGGTTAGCGGACAAAAGAGCACTTCCCATCTTCAGGAATAAAAAAGCACCACCACCACTCTCTCTTACTAAGCAAAAAGAAAAGCTCTTGTTTTATTTATTTTTATTTATTTATTTATTTATTTATTTTGAGGTGGAGTTTTGCTCGTCACCCAGGCTGGAGTGAAATGGCATCTTGGCTCACTGCAACTTACGCCTCCTGGGTTCAAGCGATTTTCCTGCCTCAGCCTCCCGAGTAGCTGGGATTATAGACGCCCGGCACCACACCCAACTAATTTTTGTATTTTTAGTAGAGACAGGGTTTCGTCATGTTGGCCAGGCTGGTCTCACACTCCTGACCTTAGGTGATCCATTTGCCTCAGCCCCCCAAACTGCTGAGCCACCGCGCCTGGCCGTTTTATTTTGCTTTTCTTCATTTTCCTGGAATGTGGGAGATTTAAAAGGCAGGAGGCCAACTGGAAAGTGGGGATGCCGTTAGCTTGGGGCTGGACTCACTGATCCTACAATGAAGTGGGGATAGCACCAGTTTCTGAATCTGCCCAATTTTAGCTTCAACCTCTCCTACATTATTTTCCTTTTGAATGGGGATCTCCATTTCTTATAAAACAGGGGTGAAATGTACGTGTTCACCTTCTGAGAAGCAAGGAGGGTGTCTTAGCCCAATAGTAAATACTTTTCAGAGTTTTAGAAAAGTTTTCCAGAATACAATGTTGTACCTCCTTGGGACTGGAGGATCACACCACTGAGGTAAGGCAAGTAGTTAAAAAAAAAAAAAAAAATCCACAGCCCCACCTTCCAGACAAAATCTACTGGGCTAATGGGGACAAATAATTTCAATTTCGGACATTAACAATTTTAGATGCCTTGTTTTCCTGTATTATCGTGTTTCTCATAAATTTTAAGCACTGGGTAAGAACATGATTATACTTTTCATTTCTCATAAACACGGGTGTGTAAATTGCTAATTTTAGCACCTTTGAATTTTATTTGTCTAGAATGGTTTCAACTTTGCCAATATCTTTTCTTGCTTATTGAACAGATGCTTTGAAAAGAGAGATATAATTTAAAACTAGAAATTAAGAAAATACTGTGCAGCACAGAACAAAAGTACTAAAGAAGCAATATATACACATTTACTATTTATTTAATGCAGGTACATATTTAACTTACAAAAACCAGCACCCCATTACTGTATGTTGATGTATGTATTAGCTCAATAGAACATGGAAAAAAAAAAAAAACGAAAGGGAAAACTAGTTTCAGGTGAAACAAACAAACTAGTTTCAGGTGAAACAAACAAAAAAAAAACCAGTGTAAAGTAGAGGCTGAAATAGATACAGCATTGCAATATAATAAGCAATTTTATTTCTAAATGGTGCCTTTAATATGTCAAATAAAATTAATTTTGTTTAATGAATGAAAATCCAGTAATTGAACATATTTTGCAAGCATTTGGGTAGTTGTGATTGTTTTATCAAGACTTTGGTATTAAACTCGTGAGAACACAGGCTTTGATAGAGATGTTTTTGAGAAATGCAAACTTTTATATTAATTATATATAAAAACGAGTTTCTCAAGTATTTACAAAGGTACTTTCCAAGTACACAATATAAGGAAGTAACAACAAGAACAAAAAATGAGAAAATGAGTTACAGTTTCAAACGTGGAGAATTCACATTAAGAGGAAAATAATGTAATAAACATTTTAGACATGTCCTTGTAAACATCACAGATCATTTAAAAGCTTATTTCCGGTGAATATTTCCACAGATTTTTTAGGGTGGAAAAACACTTTCAATGGTTACGAACAAGAAACTTCGAACCTTAGGGGGAAAACTGCATTTTAAAAGTTAATATTGCTTTTGCAAATTCTTCGGCTATTTTTCTTTTGTTTAATCGCCTTTACCTGGGTTCATTTGGTATGCCTAAGAAACCTAGAAAAATAGGGTACTGTTTTAAGTGGGAATGGTTCTGTGGAAATAGTGAATTAGTTCACCAATTGGGGAGGGTAAAAAAAAAGCCCCCAAAAACCTTATAAATGATGGCAAAACCTTTTAAGTCCGACTTAAAAAGAGAGTGAGGAGTAAGATGGCGCAGTTACACCTTTACAGCTCTCTGACCCCAAAATTCACGTGTGTTCACCGGCAAGAGCCGGGAGAGTTGGTTATTTATTTTTTTTATTTGAAAACACAGCTCAGGTTCAGGGGTTCCTAACACGGAGAAAGGCACGGGTCCCGAAGAGCGCCAGCGGCCATTGTGTCCCAAGCGCAGGTGTCAAACGCCGGCCGTGGCGCCCGCAGGGTCCGTCCCGCACGCTCCTTCTCAAACAATGACTTTGCTGCCCACGAACAGAGAAGCCTGGATCCCAGCGCAATCCGCGGCACGTTCGTTAAGGAGCCCAACTTTGGCTTCTTACAAAGCAACCCACTTTCTAGATGCCCCCGGCGCGCCCGCCTCGAGGCCGCGAGTAAGGCCAGCTCCGGCCGGAAGCCGGGGACCGGGAAGCGCGCAGTCCGGACCTTCCTTCCCCGCCTTTCTCTTCCAGGTTTACTAGAATTCCAGGAACTCCAAAATACGACTTCTCTTTCTCTTTGCTTTTCGTCTTAAGGGAACACAGTGGGCAAAAGAAGGGAGTGCGTTTGCCCGGGGGCTCGGGAGCCCCCTGTGCAATGACCTAAGGACCGCTAGCGATTTCTTGAAAAATTACTTTAATCAAGTCCTACGCTCCCGGGAGCGGGGGAGGAAAGGCAGCACCCGCTCGGGACGGGAGAAAAAAGCCTCCAGGTCTGTCCCGCGTCTCCAACTCGGCGAGGGTCTCCGGCTCCCCAGTCTCCCTCCCTGCCCTACTGGGGCCTGGGGTTTTGGGGAGGGAAGAGGGGTGCTGGGGTCTGAGGACCCTGGGCCGGGCCTGGCTTTCCACTGGCCGGGCCTGCGGGTGTCGGCGACCCGGGGGCTCCGCGGGCGGCTCCGGCGCTCAGAGAGCCCGCGTCCGGCGCCGGGGCGGCGGGGCCACGGGGCCGCACGGGGCGCCTGGCTGGGTGCGCCTGGCTGGGAGCGGCGAGCAGCCCCGTGCCCGCGTTTTGATTTCCTTTCCCTTCTAAGCCGCGTTTACAACTTCACCAATGAATAACCCGCCTCTCTTTTCAACCTAATCACGGCTCTTTGTGTATCTTTCTGTTGATGATTTATAGAAATAAATTAATAACACCCCAACTCCACGTGCTGCAGTTTATGTTACGTCTCAGCTGCGTCCAGCCCGGCGCGGGGCTGGGTGCGGAGGGGCGCCCCGGGTCTTTCCAGCGCCGCGCTAAAAAGCGGCCGCCTGCGGCCGGGCCGGAGGGCCTAGGCCCTGTGACCCCCAGTGGCCGGCAGTGGGAGCCTGGTTCATCCGCCTGGTTCTGAGCGACCTCCCGGCAGCCCTGGCGCCCCAGCCGCCCCTAGGGGCCACTCTCTCGACCCCTCTTAGCCTCTATGACTCACACCTGCCGCGTCGCGGAACTCTCTTGCAGGAGTTCTCTCCCGATAAGGGAGAAATCACCTCCGGGCGGGAGAGCGGCGAGGGAAAAACCGCAAACCTATGAACTATACCAAAGTGTGTTTGGGGGAAAAATATCTACAAGATCCCTGATTGTTTTGGCTAGAGGGCAAACCGCCAGGCCCTCGGAGCGCAAATTCAAATGCAAGGTCATATCCCACCCCAAACCGCCGCTGCGGACGTAAGGCCGAGGCTCAGCCCCGAAATCGCGGCGCTTCAGTGTCCGAAGCCACGCGATGGGCTCCGTCCTAAAGCGGAGTGGCCCGGGAGCGACGTGCGGTCCCAGGGAACCGCTCGGCTCTTTAGATAATTAGTAACCAGCTGTCAAAGCCTAGGGCGGTCGGGGAGGACCCACAAACGATCCCGGCCCTGGGGACACACTGCCAGCCGGCCTGACCTCCTGGGGAGAGGCCGGGGGTGGGCAGCGAGGTCTGGAAACGCCCTCCTTTCTCAGATTGAGAGCAGACTCCTTTCTCAGACTGAGACCAAATCCTCTGCGAACTGAGGTCTGAGACATGTTCGCCCCCACACCACCCCGCTTGGTTTCTTGGGCCCCGCGCGGGTCCACCCCGACCCTACATGCAACATGCCCTTTGCAAATCTAAACCGGCGTTGGGGATCTCGGATAATTCTGGGCCTTGCATGGGGGCGGCTAACAAGAGTGCCCACCAGGGGACTCGCCTCCCAGATCCCGGCCCCGGACGCCGCCTGTCCTTCGGCAAAGAACTGCAGGTCATCATGCAGGTCAATGTGTCCGAGGCCGACATGCGGCTTTCCAGACCCAGGCAGCGCGCAGGAAAAAATGCGCGGCCTGGGGCTTGCAGCGGCGCGAGCCTCTGCTCCCGGGAAGTCGCAGCGGTTTCACTGCACCCACTCGCACCTTCAGTCGCGTGGGCAAACCTCCCGGCAAAGGGCTCCGCAGCTCCAGTTCTCCCCGGCCGAGCTCCAGCCCCGTGGGGAAAAGCCCCTGGGTCCACGACGCTGGCCTGGGCCTGGGGAGAAGAAGCCCGGTGGGCCGCAGTGTCTTTCGGCTAAGGGATTGGGAAGGGTCCAGGTGTTGGGAGAGAAGCAGAGCGCCCCCCGGGGGACTTCTCTGGTGGGAAACGGGCTTGGCGAGTGTGGTCGGGCGCAGTGTCACTCAGGCCCGGGGCAGGGGCTCCAGGGGTTCGGGTGGGTCCTCTCCAACTCGCTCTGCGCCTACCTGAGCATCCGGTCCACCTCCGCCCGCTGCTCCGCCGCCTCCTCGGTGTTGAGCGCCTGCAGCTCCTTGAGGATGGGAGGTGTGTCATAGTCGTCGCCGTCCTCGGAGCCCTCGTCGCCGGACAAGCGGCCCTTGGCGTGGCCGTTGGTGAGAGTATGGAAGACCGGCTTGGTGTCGGGCTCGGCCCCGCTGCCAGGGGACAAGGGCAGCGTCTCCAGCTTCACCCCGAAGTTCGGCGATGGCAGCAACTCCTCCAAGGCCTGAACCAGCACCTCCTTGGTGACCCCGGAGCTCAGCAGGGCGCTCAGGAGTTCTTGCTGGAGCGACGTGAGCTTGGACACCATTTTCCAAGGACAGAAAAAGAAGGGGGTGAGGGCGTGGGTGGGTGCGAGAGAGGAGGGTGGAGGGGATTTTCACAAGCAAACTCCAAATCCAGGAACCCCTCCACCCTTCAGCCTCCAGACACCTGTTACTCCCCGGGGTCCCGGAGTCTCCTCCGAGAGGAGTCAGAAAACTTCTAACTTGCCATGATCGCCACCATTAGGCCATATAAGATATGCAAATTAGTGGGAAGGGCCCAGCTTTCGGCTGGATGCAAATGATGGTGGGGAGGGGGAAACCCGGAGAGAGGGAGAGCCGGAGGGGCAGACCTGGAGAACAGAAGACCCGGGCCGGGAGCGGGGCTTTGCCAGGGTCCATTCTACTCACGCTGGGGGGCTGGAGACCTTCTTTTACTGGTTCTGCTTATCAGCCAAACTTCAGCTAACCTCTGGACTTGTTAAGCCAGTGCCTTGCAGCCTAGGCGCGGGGCTTTTCCACCGGTTCTCAGTTCCGCTTTAGTCCAGAGAGAAGACACTACGCTTCGGCGTTCAGGTGAGAGCCGGAGGAAGCTGGGGTGCTCGTGGAAGAAGGGGACGCAGGAGGAAACGAAGAGTAGAGACCCTGGATGCGTCCCAGCCGACGCAGGTGGTGGGCCAGGAGAGCCCGCAGGGCGGAAGAGAAACTGACCACTTAGGAAGGGGCGCCGAGGCCAGCGGGGAGGTGAGGCCGCCTTAGGTGGGGTGCGCGCGCCCTGGAGGCACTCCATTTATTTCCACTTTGGTTACTGCTCTCCAGGCCCCAGAACCTCCCTGGCCCGGTCTGGCGGTTTGGGTTTGCAGAACTGCCCGCCAGAGAGCGTAGACGAGGGTGAAGGAGTCCGGGAGGACTCTTGGAAAGAGACTACTTTATGGGCAGAGGGAGTAGCCAAAGTGAAGCTCCCCCAGCAGCCGGGCTGCACCGGCGCCCAGCCTGACAACGCCACTGGGGAGCTGGACCCCTGGGGCTCCTCACTCTCCTGTTTAAACCCGATGTCAAGGCGTCTTCGCCTTGGGGGAGGATGGTGAGGCAGAATGGTGAGGCACTAGGATGGTGAGGCAGTGAAAGCAAAGCTTGACCTGCAGCTGGATGGACACTTGCAGCCGAGTGTCCCCCCGGCTCACTCATTTCTGGTTTATTCGCAGTTCCAGAACATCTGTGGTTCCCTGGGCAGGGGACGAGCTCTGCAGACGAGGTCACTGCAGCAGTGGCAGGAATCTTGCACTCCTAGTAGAGAAGGTGTCGACAGAGCTATTGAGGGAAAGAAGTTTTTTGTTTTGTTTTGTTTTGTTTTTTTCCAGTCTGGCCTGGGCCAGGTAGGAAGCCATAGGCCTGGCAGCACTATTGGAGTTTCACCTGCTTCTCCCCGGGAGACCGGCAGGAGGGGAGGGCTGCGCCCAAACCTTCAAGCTAGGACCTGACCTGTAGAAGAACAGGGGAAGGGAATTCTTTGCTTCCACCATACACAGACCTAAGGCTTCTGGGGAGAAGCATAACGCTTCCCTTCTGGGAGCCTCAGTTTCCTCATCTGCAAAAAGGGGATACCACTGATACCTTTTATTTGGGGGGGTGTATATTGAGTGAGACCACTTGTGCAACCTCTTGGTCTAATAATAAAGTTCAACACTTTCTGGTCTGGGAAGATGGGAAGCCAGTTCCCAGTAGTAAAATTGAGTTTCTCTGGAAACTTAGGGTTTTCAGAATTGGTGATACAGTGCTGGGGTTGGAGGGATTGGAGGACTAAGGTTTCAGAATCAGCAGAAACATTGCAAAAGAGTTTCTAAGCACATTTTCCTTCCTCTCCCACCCTTGAAAGATAACTAGGAGGAAGTAAGGTTAGGTTAGGGATAGAGAGGAATTTCAGCAGGAGGAGGAAGGGTCTAGCAGCTCTCATCTGCCTAGGGGCAGGATCTAATCTCTTAGGTGTGCGAGGGCTGATGGTGTAATTTATCAAGTCAGGCTGTTAAGGAGCTAGGATGCCTCTTAAATACAGGGTCTGCTACAGGTGCCTGGGCCACTTGTGCTGAGAGCCAGAAAGAAGGGATGGTTAAGTGCATGGAGCCTGGGGAAGGTTTACACTGATCTCAGTCCCTCTTTGCCTGAGACAAGCAAACCCCAAATTCAGGAACATCTCCATCCTTCAGCCTCCAGAAGCCCGTTACTCCTCAGGTTGCCAGAGGGAGTCATAACTTCATAAAAATGTTGGCTTTTCATTTCACCATTTTTTTCCCTCTAGTTTGTTGTAATAGGTGGCAAATCTTTGCCTCTCATAATTCTGCCCACTGGAAGAACATTCTCTACCTGTCCAGCTTGCCTCAAGAAGGATAATGAAGTGTTCAGAGTAAATGGTCCTGGAGAACAATTTCTTTTTCTGTCTCTCACTCGCTGTCAGGATAGAAGCATCAAGTGTAATGAAGATCAGTTTCTGTGTTAAGCTGGAAAAACCCATTGAAAAAACAGCAATCATTTCTGTTGTAACAACAAAACTTTGATTGGCAGTTCCAGCTGCTGTGTGCCCCATCTGATTCCCAAGTCTCATTCTCTCTCAGAATTCAGGTGTCAGCAAACCCATTCTTCCCCATACCCCAGGTAACTGCGTGAAAGTGCAGGAAATTTCACACAGAGGATACGACACATTTCCTATGAGTGTCAGGTATGTTTTCCAGGTAATCTGGCTATTCACATCCAGCAACTTCCTGTAATGCTCCTTCCTAGACCTACCTTGTAATATACCACTTTGTGCGATGTAAGTGCTCATCAAGTAATTATTCTGTACTGTAGATCTTCAAACAGTTTCACCAATCCCTTCATATGGAAATTTAGAAAGAGATGTGTAAAGTAGACCAGCAGATAGTCTTTCAGAATGCAGGTCACAAATGCTAAGTGAGCTATCCTATAAAACTCTTCAGTTAAACTTCCCCCAAATAGAGGAAGACGGAGTAGGATTGAAATAACATCTGTTTATGCTTCACACAGAATAAAGTGATGATGGACTGATATAATAACCCTATTTTAAAGATGGAAAAATAAGATATGGGAGAGTCTCAGGTTGCTTGTAGCCACCTCAGCAAATTAAAGGAAGGGTTGAGATTGGGGCTCAGAACTTTTGAGCAGGACTTTAGGATGAAAGGGGAAGGTCTCTAGCTGTCATTGTTCTGAGAGATGAGAAGTTGAAAGGAGGATTCTAAGGGGGGAGAGGTGGAGGATACCCAGCAGAGAATAGTGGGCAGGCTTTGGAGTAGTCAAACAGAACTAAACTTGAACCCAAGATCTGCTTCACCTGCTGTGTGACTTCGGGCATGTTACATTATCTTTCTGATCTTTAGTTTCCTTATGTGCAAAATGATAATGACACTCTACTGCACCTGTGTGAAGATTAGGTGAGTTAGCAACTACAGATTCCTAGAATATGGTGGGCTCTCACGTATTTAGAAAGAAAAGACACATCTTGAAAACACGCTGAGAACTGAGGCAACTGATGTCTTTAGGCTCTTATAGTCCCAGCATGTTTTTGAGAGCTACTGAATTTGAAGAGACCATATCAGTTTTGTCTACTCAAACTAGATGAATTTGCAGTTCATATCCCAAGGTTTTTTTCTTTTTTTTATGGGAGGTGCAATCCCTGGTATAAAATAAGTTGAAATCTAGTTGATTCATCACTCTATGAAGGCGTTCTGGGCACCATGCTGGTCATTCCACAGATTGGCACGTGTGGTTTCTGTGAACTCATCTCCCCTGGAACTTAGCAGCGCAAGTGATATTTTTCTGATTTGTACATGCAGTCTTTCCCCTACTTTTCACGGTTGCACTTCTTTGTTTACAGAAGAGATTCTGGTCATTTCCACCCCCTGCCACTCCACTCTCCCAGGCTTTCTGATTGGTTCACAGAGTATCTAGAAGGCCTCAAAATAAAATCATCTCTAGAGTAAAACATAAATACCATCCTAAGCTGTTCTGCAGGAGGTCAGGGGCCTTCTTGTTAGACAGCAGTGTTGCAACCTGGAGAACATTCTAGACTTCAGGGTCTGGAAAGAGCCTGAGGTTCTTCTTCTGGCTACAGTACCCCTTTCTGGGAAATTCATCTCCCCAGGAGTTTTGGTGAGCACCTTCTCTGGGTCTCTGATTCTACCTTTGAAAAATGGCCGGTTGGTTTGGATAACCATTTAGGTCCTCCGACTTTTTTTATAATTTGAAATTCCTAAAAGGTCTTAAATTATTAGGATGTCTACTTGCAGGCCTTTGGGCAGATGGGCCAAGAGCTCAGGCCAGACCTCTATGTAGTAGTGGACATGAAGCCTTGACTAGCCACGAAAAAATACACCACAGAGAGCAAACCCCATGAGGGGCAGGCATCTTCTCATGTCTTACTCCTCAGTGCCTGGAGAGATGCCGATGCATGGTAGATGCTCAAGAAAATGCTTACTGAGTAAATAAACATGTGATTGCCTCTGGACAATACTGTTAAAACTAAATACTTGCCAGGTGTGGTGGCACACACCTGTGATCCCAGTGCTTTGGGAGGCCAAGGTGGGAAGATAGCTTAAGCCCAGGAGTTCAAGATCAGCTGGGGCAAAATAGTGAGACCCTGTCTCTACAAAAATAAAAAAAGTAGCCAGGCATGGTAGTGCGTGCTCATAGTCCTAGCTACTCGGGAGGCTGAGGTGGGAGGATCGCTTGAGCTCAGGAGTCTGAGGTTGGTTCCATTGAACTATGACTGTGTCACTGCACTTCAGCTTGAGTGACAGAGTGAGACCCCATTCTCTAAATAAATAAATAACTACTTTTACCAGACACAAAAGAATCTATACTGTGTGATTCCATTTATATAAAGTTAAAAAGTGGAAAAACGAATCCATGGTGCTAGAGGTTTCTGGGGTGCTAGAAAAGGTTCTATATATTGGTTGGGATGGTGGATCCATCACCAGGCTACATGTGTGGGATTTGTGCATGTTGCCATATGTAAGTTATAAATTAGTATAAAGTAAATTAAATAAATAACTCCAAGTATAAAATGTAAACAGTATAGGGCTGGGCGCGGTGGCTCACGCCTGTAATCCCAGCACTTTGGGAGGCCGAGGCAGGCGGATCACGAGGTCAGGAGATTGAGACCACCTGGCTAACATGGTGAAACCCCAACTCTACTAAAAATACAAAATTAGCCAGGTGTGGTGGCGGGCGCCTGTAGTCCCAGCTACTCGGGAGGCTGAGGCAGGAGACTGGTATGAACTCAGGAGGCAGAGGTTGCAGTGAGCCAAGATCATGCCACTGCACTCCAGCCTGGGCCACAGAGCAAGACTCCATCTAAAAAAAAAAAAAAAGTAAACAGTGTAAATAATCTTCTTATCCCCCTCAACGGTTTACAGTTGATGTTTGGTCCTCCAGATTTTTTCCTATTCATCATTATAGTTAATCATCATTAAGGTCTATAGCATAGTATAGTCCAGGAGTCAGCAAACTTTTTCTATAAAGGGCAAAATAGTAAATATTTTAGGTTTTATGGGCCAGACGGTCTCTGTTACAACTATTCAACTCTGCTCTTATCGACAATACATAAATGAATATGTGTGGCTGTGTTCCAATAAAGCTTATTTACAAAAACAATTAGCTGGCTGCATTTGGCCCATGTGTCACAGTTTGTCAACCCCTGGATAAAGCACTTATGCCACT